AGCTCCTGCCCGATGTGGGGGCCGTGGTGACATGCAAGGTAGGGCGCCGGAGCGCGCTGCGACGGCAGACTGCACAGCTTTTGCTCTCTCTGCCTCGCGCTGACGGGGTGGGATGAGGAGCCCCTGGGCTCGTCAGTGCCCTCTGTACGGCTCCCGGCGGGGCAGAGGCAGCCCAGTGGCTCCCTTGGGTCCCTCGCTCACAAAGAAGCCAGATGTTGGCACGGGGGACACCTGCCTGTTGACACTCCCTGCCCCAAGGCCGAGGCAGGCTGAGGGGAGGTTTTTCTTTGCTCTCCCTTCCGGAACCCTTTCTGGGGCAGGGTGCGTGGAGGACAGTGCCTGGGGCAGCTTGGAGGAAGAGTGGCACAGACCGGGGGATTGGTTTCCTTACGGTCCTGACGGTGGGAGAGGGACGGGGGTCACAGCAGGTCTCGGCCTTATTCGTGTGTCTTGAGTCGCACAAGTATCATCTTCCTCGCCTGGCTGACTGCGGGCGTCCCACCTCCGCCGCCACTTCTTTGGTGACGAGGAGGAGGGGGCCGAGTGAGACGCGAGCTCCCCGCATACAACCCTGTCCTGCCTGCACCCTGCCCTCTCCCTGCCTGGAGCGGGGCGCGCTGGGGTGAGAGCAGGCCCGTGCTGGCACCGATTCCCCTTTTCCTCCGGGCAGGTTTGCGGCATTAACTCCCGCTTTGCCAAGGTGCACATCCTGTATGTCGGCTCCACGCCGCTGAAGTCCGCCTTCCGGGGGACCATACGGTAGGGAGAGGGCTGGGTTCCCCACGGGATGGGGTGCCCAAGCGCCCCATCCTCAAGGTGGGGGGGGAGGCTTTTCTGGGTGGCACAGCCAGCTGCCCTGGCAGGAGCTCTGCCCCGCGCACCGGGCGGGTGTCCAGCAAGTCCTGGCGAGCGCCCAGGGGGCCCGGGGCAGCTCCTGCCGCGGGCTGGAGAGTCACCTTCGCTCACTAGCGCTCAGATCCCTCTGTCTCCTTTTTCAGGAGAGAAGATATTCGAGCCACGGAGAAAGATAAGGTCAGTGAGGCTCTGCCGGTGACTCTGCTACTGCAGCCACCCCCACTCCTCCTTTCTGCTGGTGGGGGGCGCTTGTCCCGCCGCTGACGAGCACCCCGACACGCTGCGCGGTTTTGCCTGCTCTCTGCTGTGCAGGTAGAAGTGTACAAGAGCTTCCGCCCGGGTGACATAGTCCTGGCCAAAGTCGTATCCTTTCCCCTCGTGCCAGGAGGGCCCACCGGCACAGCGGGTTTGCTCGAGTCCCCTCGGGGAGGCCTTTCCCTTAACCCCTGTCGAACCAGATCTCGCTGGGGGACGCGCAGTCCAACTACCTGCTGAGCACGGCGGAGAACGAGCTGGGCGTGGTGGTGGCGCGCAGCGAGGCAGGTAGGGACAGGCCTCGTCCCCCGCCTGAGGGGGCCGCCTCCCTTTCCACGTGGAGGAACGCAATTTCGGGAAGGGGAGCCCCTGACACGTGGTGTCCCTAGGGGTGCAGATGGTGCCCATCAGCTGGTGCGAGATGCAGTGCCCGCGGACGCACACCAAGGACTTCCGTAAGGTGGCCCGCGTGCAGCCCCAGTTCCTGCAGACCTAGCAGCCCCCACGGGGGTGGGGGGACCCTGCGGGGCAAGGGGCTGCCGGGCTGGGGTCTGCGGGGCCAGAGCAGCCCCTGGACTCCAGCCGCCTCCGCGCGTGAGCCAGGCCCTCGCTGGCGGGGTGGAGTTTCTATTTGTGGATAATAAATAATTTCTGAGAGCTCCGTGCTCTGCTCAGTTACGGCCCAGAGAGGCGGCCGGGGCTGCCT